GAAACAAGACCGTCTATATAAATATTACAACTTTAAATACAAAGCGCCTTCCCGGTCCGAGTGTTAAGATGTTGAATTACTATCTAATATACATTCAATTAAATTAAATTAATATTTCAGAAATAATTTTTTAAGATTTGGGAGAATTTGGGGGGATTATTTGTTTCAGATTGATTGTGTGAATCCGATAATTTCATCAGCTCTCAATTTATTTCTGAAATATTAATTTAATTTAATTGAATGTATATTAGATAGTAATTCAACATCTTAACTCTCGGACCGGGAAGGCGCTTTGTATTTAAAGTTGTAATATTTATATAGACGGTCTTGTTTCCAATCATATTATATAATTTTGAATTTTATTGAATTTTCAGCTCCTCTGAAATTAAACTTAATTTCTTATAAAATTCTGTAGTTATACAAAATGTATAATGCATTAATATTATAATTAATTTTGTTATAAATAAATGAATGTATAATAGCACGTAATATAATATTAAGTACGTAATATAAAATTTAAATGTAAACTATATCCAGATAAATGTGCTATGTTTACTTTTGTTATTTGCGCAATAATTACTAATTAATTATACATTTATTAGAATGTTTATAACCGTATTGATTATATCTATTCAAAATACATGTAGCATTTATCTTGTCGTAGTAAATCAAATATTTTGTTACTGTATTGACGTAAATTACACGAAATCGACGAAATATATGATAACAAAAATTATTTATTGATTTAACGAATTTGATAAATATTTAATTTTTAAACTTTTTTTAAATTTGGATTTTATTTTGAATATCAAAAAGTCATTAATAATTTTAAGTGTAACTTTTAATTAAAAATTTGCTGTTTAGAATAATCGTTACTTTTTCTTAGTAAGATTTTCTCTTAAGTAAGTCAATAAAGATTGCAGCTTTGAGGCAATGGTTAAATATTAGCTTCTTGTTTCCTTTTTGATATTTATAATTTTAACATTACAGAATTACAAGTATATCTTAGTGATCGATTTATTATATGCAAAGACCTCATCGCGTCTCTCATGTCAGATATATGCCAGTGAATGCGTAATTTGTATCAGTGGAAAGTCGTAACTGTTTTCATCATGAAGAGTTATTCCTCGTCTCTTTCCGTAAAGTCTATTCGCATAGTCTAGTTTGATGTTCTATTCAAGATTTTTGTACAGGATCGAAATTAATCCTGGATTTTCTCATCAGTTCTTGAAAGTAATCATTTTATTAATGATTCAATGACAATTGCTATATATTTTAAAGTCAAGTTGCCAAATTAATTCAGTGGTAAATTTTAGAGTACAATTTTCGTCGCTTTCTTAATTTTACTAAATGTTCTCCCACTATAGTAATAATATTAATAATAGACTGTTTTAATGGAAATAGGAATTTAGTATTCAATGATTAATATGAATATATAATGATTATTTGTATAAATTTAAATTATGAAATAAATAAATTTAAGTTTTATACAAATAATTTGCTTATTTTT